GAACATTTTGAAATTTCGCAGTGAGACTCAATTATATGTATTGGTCGAAATAAATTTGAAAACTTATGTAGAAATTACAAGATATTATAGCGGGAGTATATTCTGCGTTTAAAATTAATGAAGATTCGTGAAAACGTTCACTTTCTCTTTGAAATATTTGAAATTCCTGACAGACTGATTATGATTATTATAGCTCACGTAATATTTATACATAAATAATATTTATACATAAATCTTTAATTTTAAACTACTGTATGTTGCTATGAATACACAATTTTAATAGTATCGAATTTCTGAGCAAATAACATATATCTTATCACAAGTAAAAAGTATATTATCATACTCTGATATATTCTCGACAAATTTTATTAACGAATGAATAAAAGCCGAGAATAAGTTTATCGTTTCAAGCAAGAAAGTTATTTTTACTGTTGATATCATTCCAGTAGCTGTGCGGCGACTGAGGAATCGATATATGATTATGTCACATTAGGATAAAAATAGTATAGAGTTAAAATTGATGGATCTGTTTTGTGGTGCGAGCAATACTCAAGCTTTATCGTACAAATTTAACAAAAATCATGAAATTACAGGAGACATTGTAGATTTTTGGTAGAAAAACAATGATCGATAATACCTTCAAAATTACTTGACATTAGGATAAAAAATACAGAATTGAAATTCGATTGACGAATTTATTTTATGATACAAATAATCTTCAATCTTTTTAGTGATAGTCGTGAAATCATAAAAGACGTATGTAATAATCTTAGTGGAAAAAGAATGATTCAACGATAGGATTATCTTCTCAAAATTACTTAAGGAAAAAAAAAGAATACAGAATTCAACACAATTAATCTGTTTTATCATGCAAATAGTTTCCCAACTTTTTAGCGAAAGTCACGAAATCATATGTAGAGTCTTAGTAGAAAAAGTATGATTCAAGGATAGGATTACACCTCTGGTGACACATTTAAAAGTTTACCTAAGTTGTTTTCGAGGCTGTTGGCCGTGGTTGTTTGGCTCTGGCCAGATATAGGACCACCATGACTCACGATCTTTCTACTGGTGTGCGATGTCGTTCTCTCCCTCACCGCGGCTGACATTGCGCTCCTCTTCAACTTCCCTGCCTTGCGTGGTCTGGAGAACAATTTAAACAAAAAAAAAAAAAAAAAAAAAGAAATAAAATGCGCTGACCAATCTAAAAAAATTGCAAGTTGAAGCAAAAATCACGAGTTGTGCAAATATACTTCAAATATTCTTAACATATATACACATTTGCAGTAGTCTATTTTATTATTCACAATTTAATTTCTGAATGCTTGGTTTTGACCAACTTGGTTTGTTGTTTATTAATTCAATTTCAGTTATTAGTAATCCATATTAGTAATCATAATTTACATTTGTTAGCAATCTTTTTTTAAACGTTTTCTATTTGATTCATTCTCCACTATTTCAACTTCAACAGAAATTTAATTTCTCGGTACGAGAAAATAATAATAGGTCATTTTTGTCATTTCAATGCAGCCATGATGATTATAATAGTTACAGAATGCTAAATATAATACTCAAACAGAATGATAGAACATATCATAGTTTGTGAATGCATCAATGGCTGTACGGGATGAGTCACCGAATTTTAACCTTAAATTACTCGACCTCAATAGTCTTTTTTATTTCGCGCCTGATACTATTTTGAATTACAAGGTCAAACGTTACGTTCTCCAAGAAACCTATATAGTGACCTTCGTGATCTTGGAAAGGCAAAGTATGAGAAGCTTGACCAATCCATCGTATTATCTCAACCGGAAACTCTTCGTGCACTGTGACTTCGTGTATTTTTTATATTAATAAGAATCAAGTGTATTTATCAGACTCGATACGCGTTCGACTAAAGTGCCCGACACCGACCAAACGAATAATGAAGTGTCGGTCCGCAGCTTGATCAATCCATCGTATTATCTCATCCTTGATATTGTACGACTTTTGAATTGAAACGTTTTCTCGTGAGAAGAGAGTTTATGATGCAGTTTAATAGTCACCTACGAGTAGGAAACTCTTCGTGCACTGTGACTTCGTGTATTTTTTATATTAATAAGAATCAAGTGTATTTATCAGACTCGATACGCGTTCGACTAAAGTGCCCGACACCGACCAAACGAATAATGAAGTGTCGGTCCACAGGGACCGACACTTCATTATTCGTTTGGCCGACGTGTGTGTACATGTACGTTAATTAACATAATGTGGAATAGCTAGCAGGAGAGCTACTCCTCTGCGTGTCGAACGCAACAGCACTTCTATTTATAGATGTCGAACATTTATAAATATGGCAGATTCGAGTAGATCGGAGAACTGGATCCGGCGGAGGCGCGCCCGTTAGAAGCTGAAACTTTCGCGGTGAACACCTGAAGCCGGTTCTAACGTTAAAACGTTGGTGGTGAACCTGGAGCGGTGGCATTTCGAATTAAGTGGGCGCGTGTAATGCCCGGCGTTCGCGATAGAAACTCGCGAACAAAGATTTATTTCTGTTTCCCTGGCCCGTTCCTTTACTCTCTGTGATCGCGGCTCGCCTCGCACTTATGCGCGCGCGTATTTACGTGTACGACTGTCGAACACGATGTTTCGTAAAACTAGTTTTGTAACGTGGTATTAAGAGATATATAATGAATAGTGGTCGTGGGTTGATCCGTTGGGATCGTACTTTTGATTAGACGAGGAACACGGCCGTTCTGTGGATTGATTTATGGAAATCGCTCGCGCGATGAAAGGGGAAGTCGGGATTTTAATAATGTCCATAGAGTTTCGTCAGACTCTTTCGCAGTGATTGTTACTGCTTTTTAATGTCACGTTTTTTTTTGGAGGGCAGCTGTTATATTCGAGTTTGAGAACGATCTTTTTATGTTGGATGTTGTGCATAATCATGAACTAATTGATTGATAAATATATTATGTATACATATGCATTTGTGTAATGAACATTATATATACATACATTTTATTTATAAATATTAATGATATATAATATATAATTTATACATCTATTACATATTATTATTCTTCATAAAATTGATTCTGTGTTTTTCTGTATAAGAAAATAAAGATTATATTTCTATTATTAATAATTGTCGATACTTCATGTTGCGATTGATAACAACAAATGGAAGGAAGATTATTTTGCTTGTAATTTTTCAAATTATCGTGACTGGGAATGTTATTAATATTCTCATGGTTGTATAATATCATATAATAGAAACACTCAATTAGATTCTCTAAAATTATCATTTTAATCGTATTAGGTTCCCAGTATTTTTATTCATACAAGGATTCGGGCAATGCTATCATCATTAATTTTCAATTATCTCCCAAATTATAAAGCTCGTAAAAGTTTGCAACTTTTACTCACTCTTACCTAGATTCTTCAAACAAGCAAAAATATAAAATCGCATAAACATCCGCAGTCTACTCGTGAGATAACAACGTACGAGTAAATCTGTTCCAACTATTTAAATCACGTCTGAATGTAGAAGAAAGTGTGTGTATGTATGTATGTATGTATGTATTTCCACGGGAAACGCCGAACGGTCGTTTTATTCCGGCGGAGACATCAATGCGAATGGGGCAAAGGGGCCAAGGAGGTCTTCCAAGAATCATCTGCGGAGGAGACACACTCGTGTGATCGCCGCTGAAACCTTGAAACGCAAACCCGGACGGTTTCTAGAATTTGTATTCCCCTAACGAGAGCCCCATCGGAGATAAAACATTTTTTAACTCGGGCCAGTCCGTGACTAAACTTCCAAATTTTTCGGTTCCACTTCATGTTTCCTAGTCATTCACCTCCGCGCGATTTTCGTTAATTGCGTAGAAATAATGTTTTGTTTCGTGAGTCGAATGAATTGTACAAAGTATCGTCTAAATAATAAAATCTCTCGCGATTTTAAGAGATATATGTGCTTCTTATTTTTATCATTGTTTTCAATGAAACGATTTGATAAAAAGAAAGTGTGCTAATTTGAAACACGTGTAATTACACAGCCGAGTGTACGAAACGTTGCGTATTTTAATGATTCCGTCAGTGCAGACTCGGCTTTATGAATCCGAAGTACAGACGAGATTAAATTGCGCCGCTACCACAATTTTTATCGTTATTTAAATCGTTCTTCATTCTTCAGATATTTCTGCAACTCAAGAATGTGAAGCGATGAAAAAAAGGTGACGATAGTTATGAAAGAAGCACGCAAGATAGATTTACTTATATTGATTTCCTGATTTTTATGCTATTTGATGATTAAAAGAGAAACTCGGTACTTCATGTTTTATCATAAAATGGAAACTTTGGAATTATAGACTTCGATAGATCGTGATCAATCTTTTAATATACAATAATAATGGAGTAGTTTCGAGTGAACAGGAAAACTAGGATATTTCCTCTGCATTTGTTTTAATAATTCATAATTTATTTATATTAACGAAAAACTCGAATAATAATATTACTTAACAGGTAAAACAAATCTCTGCTTAGATCTTACTGTTTTCATTATTTTCATAAAAATCCACAATCTATCAGTAACTTACATTGAAATCTAATTTCGAGTGCAATGGAAAATCAGAAAATTCTTTAATTTTTAACTTTTTCTATATTTCTGATATATTAATATTGATAACGTGTATTATCCTTGGTTAATGATCTCATAATTCATTCATATTAACACAGATCCATGTTGAAACTTTTATTAAACCTTACTCTCGTCACTCTATATAACTTGTATTAAAATTCATCGCGTTTAAATGCCTTATTTATGTCCCCCTTTATCTAAAAGCTTTGTCTGCATAATCGATAATAGGTGCATTGTCACCGATTCATCCGACCGAGTCTGAACAAGTATCGTTCAGTTTTCACGTTTTCGAACAGTATCTCTTCTAAAAATCATACGACACACGTACAATAAAAAGAATCGTATCCTATTTTATTATTTTCTCCTCTAAACTTAACCGTGATGTCACTTTTTTAAACTGACAGAAGTTCAAAATGCTTCGAGACGTCGCTAACTACATACATATGTATAATACGTGCGAGATGACCTCTTACATCGAATCGTTAACAGAGTGTCAGAGTAGTGGTGACATTGTGCATCGTCGTTCAAGGTCCTTGTGCCAATGAAAATGATGACCGCAGTTGATTTGATTCTAAGAGCGATAGCAATATCGCGATAGTGTACATGTAGTCTACGTTAAAAGCGGCTTGTGTTGCTTAAATTTTATACCAGCTTTGTTTATTTATTATTTAAACGACGCTCAGAGGATGGAGAAAAAGAAATAAAAAACTGGAATTGAATAACCTATAGAATAAAATTAGTATAATAATATATAGTAATTATATATTATCATAATTGAAAATTGAGTAAATTGGAGGTAATTGTCTTACACATTGGAGAACAATAGTATTGGTAAGAATAATAATAAAAATGTGCAAGTAAAAAATTTCATTTAACATTAATAATAATAGTTAATATTTCGTATTATTTTTGTTTATTATTAATATGTTGTTTAGTGTTATTTCTTGTTGATTTAACAAAATCTGAATTACGTATTTTTTTTTTTTTTAATGGATTTTACTCGAGAAAGGCCCAGACAACGCGTTCTTGTCGTCCAGCAAATACATAAATCTCGACAAAACCATTGGGAGTTTTAGATTGAAAGTTTCTCATTAAAAATGTCGAATGGCATCGTGACGGCTTCGACTCGTTAAAACGTATGTACAATCGCTATTAATAGTTGGAACAACAATCTGCCAAGTGAAAGAAAATTGCATGAAGCTAGGAACGAAGAGATGCGGATTTGGAGAAAACGATGAGTTGGCGAATCAGACGAAATTAGCTGGTTACTTCTGTTCAATTGCTGAGAGCTGCGTTGGCATAAGTTACTTTTAAACCGACGACGACGACGAAATCGCGAATAGTAAATCAACCTCGATTTTTTTTCCCCTTCTTTTTATGCTTTAGAAATAGTACTTAAATAAGTAATTGCAATTATATTAAAACGATAGAATAATTAATTGTAAATAACTTTGTAACAGCAAAGAAATTTTATAGATTTATAATGATGCATTTTTAGAGATTTCAATGATTTGGTAGAATGTATTTATAAAT